AGACTGGCCAATTTGATACTGTCTTACCCCCACCAAAAGAATCTGCTTGGAGATTAACATTCGTTACAGGCAGTCTTGCAATTTTGATATCGTAAGAATTTTCAGGAAGGCTACAGATCCAAGGCAATAGCTTGGGTGCCAGACCCATAGCACACTAGTGACTAGGTGACTAGGCTCAAAGTTATCCTGTGTCACGTGTGCACACTGCACAGGATAACTTTTAGCCTAGTGTGCTATGGGTCTGGCACCCAGGCTACAGATCCAACTGCCAACAAGACAGCTGAATGTTGTTCAACATATGCACGACTATCCTTGGATGATGTAAGATCTCCTATTATATGAAGAATGTCCCCAATTTGCGAACGTACGGTGACCTCTACGGTGAATGTGGCCGTGCCAATTTTGCATAAACAATAGGTCAGAACACAGCGGTGTTTATTTTTCCAAGTTTGCTTCTGTTTAAAATAGGAACCTATGTAAAATATGTGTCCATTATACACTGATATTATACCATGTCCAGGCGGACATTATCATATAGCCAGAAAACGTTGACCAATCAGAAGGCTCCATTTCCCATCGGTTATCAGGCTGTAATATCAAAAGTGGTCGGTTATTAGAATCGCCAGCGATTATCTCACATTATCATATAGCCGGGTGGCGTAGACCAATCAGAGGCCTCCGTTACCCGTGCTTTATTCTCCGATAAACCATGGCTCAGCCGTGCGTTATTCTCCATAAACCATGGGTGAAACCATAATGATATAGGGGTACACAGCTCTTTCTGTTAATATTCATAGCAGTTTCCTGGTCAGACAAAATTATGTTTTTTTTAAGCTTCATATAAACTAAAATGTGTGTGAGTATGAAATGTATATGTAAATAGATAGAATTTGAACGGGAGAGCAAAAACCATACTTATTTTGACACCCCTACAAAAAGTGGTATCGCCCACATCACCTGACTGAATCAGACCAGGGATCAGACGATTTATTTTTTTTGGTCCGCCATCTTGCCTTCTTGTGTCATGGAGAGTTTGCCTAATTTCTACAATACACGCGGATTTAGATGAGATATTTGGACCCATGGAGGTCGAGGAACAGACGCTGGAAGCTACACCGGAGACAGAGGTCAGCAGGGTGCGTTTCGCGTGTCTGAACGAACAACAACTTGGCGAGATAAAGGAGGGGCGAGTTGAAAAAACTACTGAAAGGGCAACCAAGTGGGGAGTGAAGCTTTTGAAAGGTGGGTGTGTTCTTTTTTCAAGTGATTAGCAGGAATAGAATTACATTTGTTTTGCTAATGTTATTGTTACTGTAATATCGACAGGCTGCCAAATTTATAACAGCCCTGTACTGAACTGGAATTTTACAGCAAATTCTCTGATTTAGAATATAATGTTGATAAGTGTGCCAATATGAAACAAAACAGCATGATTGTTTGTTGCCATGCTGTTCAGAGAATCTTGTAAAATGATCTGTTGCCAGTTGCAATGCTGCAAAAGAAACAATTCTAAAGTGTAAAGTTGTAAACTATATTTATTGTAAAATGATCTCCATATTTATTTTAAAGTACAAACCATGATTATAATATTTTGGAATGTATTGTTATGTAAATATTAAAGGTTTAATGTTTTGAACAGGAATTGTGTTGATTCATTGTGTCAGTTTGGATAGGCTATATGATAATAACGTTAATGCACCGCCTTTTCCTCGGTGTATATGGTGTCATAAATGCATGGTCAGCTGCTATAACCACCTCATAAACCACCTCGTTCGCTTCGCTCACTCGGTGGTTTATTCGGTGGTTATAGCAGCTGACCATGCATTTATGACACCATATACACCTCGGGGCGGTGCATTAACCCTTTAATATACACACCGGGGCAGGGCATTAACCCTTTAATGAATGAATGAATGAATGAGGACCTTTATTATACGCAAATACCCACTGGGTTCAGTACAGGTCACAGGAAAGACGTCACAGTTTGCAATGAGTATATACAATGTACAAGCTAGTGCTAATTCTATGTACTATGGACATATAGTCTAATAATTACGATAATTTGGCTTCTTCTCGCTTCTTAGTAACGATGTAGATATAAGTACAGATGTGTTTTATAATCGAAGGTTTGTCTTAAGCCATTAGAAATATGAACTTATCTGTGTTGCTAAGATGTATGAAATGGGGAAACATACATTGCAATAGTTTATAAAGCTCAGCTCTCTCTTCGTTGTATAAACTACGTACATTCTAATACAAATGTACCACCCCTTCTTTTTGACAAAGAAGAACTACCTGTCAGGTGTCAGGGTTGGGGCAAGGCGTGTCCTAGTTAGTCATCTGGGCCGAGTTTAGCGAAGTGACCGTGCAAAATCGGACATCCGGGTCTCAGGACAGGTTTACAACTTGTCGCGCGAGGGCGTTCACCTTTCAAACCTAGCACAGTTGAACTTTTGACTTGAAAAGTTAGCAACAACCGAGCCGTAACATTATATATGTACAGTAGGGTTTCAAATCGGTGTTTGCCTAAAGTCGGTACCATGAACTAGACTCTCTGTAACATTCATGTATCACGAGCCCAAACCTCACACTAGCCTGGTATCCAGTCTATCGTGGTTGGGGTAGGCTGTCTTCGGGGCTTTAGCAGTTTTCCCCCGCCCAGCACAACAGACCGCCCGGTAGGAGCTTTGCTAAAAGATTTTGCCACGCCGAGAGTTGAGTGTCGTGGTGGGCCTAATAAAATTCCTTCCGCGAAAAACCTACCGAGGGAACCTAGCTCAGGCGGGCGGGGAAGAGCTCCTGCAGCCCCGAAGAAAACCCGCCCAACCACGGTAGACTGGATACCAATGTTAACCTCACACACTTGCGTTGCCTTAAATTTAAAACTCGGCTGTTGATTCAGATTCCCATCATCAATATTGTTCCGTTTTAAACAGCCTCGTCCATCAGTTAGCCGTGGAAATATCCCTTCCAATGGGGATAAGGCCACAGCAAGTAAATTTTATGGATGACATCCTCCGCAGATTCCAAATCTAATGCGAGCGGGCGAAAAAAACAAGACGGGCCGAAAAAAACAAGGTTCCTACAATTTAAAATTTTGACTTAATCATTGTACAAATGGTTTTGATTCAGTGAGAACATCACATATACACAGCCAGCATCACACATCACTGCATCAAAAGAAGAAACAAAACATTTATCAGAGTTTTTTCTTGTCTCCTCTCTTCATAGTTATCTGCCATCCACCTTCCGGCATGGTAACAGACATCTTTGCCCATTTTCGGCATGTTGACCACTGTAAGAAGGCAATAAAATGTCTTTTTTTTTCCAAAATCTTGCGAAAATTAATGCGCGCGTTGATGTCATCCATAAAAATTACTTGCTGTGGCCCAAACAATAAATCATCGGGCATTATAACCGTCCTGCGGCGTAACACACCAGCTTCACAGGCACGTGGCGGCAGCTGGTCAGATTAATCCAACGACCTGTCATACCTACATTTTCAACTCAAGCATGGTGCTTCAGCTATCTACCACAATACGCGATAAGGACTTCACTTAACAAAGGTTCTAAAAAAGGACTTTGAACTTTAAATTTGAACACCAAAGTGGGCCCATAATATTAATAACGCGATATCGATCCTGACTGTGTTCTGTTCTTTGCTGAGTTAGCATTTATAAGTTAACTTACATTTTTTGTACTTGATATAGTACGTCAAATATGTTCGTTTTACATCACACATAGTTTGGACTCTCTCTTCTTCTGTGGCTTGCAGTAAATGTTTGTTTTCATTTCAGAGATAGTACAGCAGAGCTAGGTAATACATGTACTAGTAGCCTAGCCTGGTTACCAGACCTATTATAGCTCCCGACTCCTACATCCTCTCCGCAAAAATCCAGGCTATGATTTTGCCATGGTCTTAATAGAAGAATATCTGACTTCAACACTTTCTGACATCGCTGGTTCACTGTGCGAATCAATTCTATGCTGCGAAAATTTAGCTCACCAAAAGGGTTAGATCTACAAACTTACAGTAAATCCACCAGAACAACTTTTGCGCATCAGGCTCTGTTTTTGCCGATGTATGAGCCCCGTCTGTCTTATCGGTCGGACATATGAATCCTTGAGTACTCAAGGTCTTTCCACATCCGTATTTTTCTTATCACAAGTCTTGCTAGAGAGATTACGAATGAGCCGTACGTTTCAAGTGTTCCATCAAAGTTATTTGAGTGACTTTTAGATTGTTTAGATTGTCATCTTGATGAGCAACGCTATATATATGTGCTCTACAGTTGTAGCATCATCATCATATGATGAAAAACTTTGGTTGTAGCATATGGCACTGTATGAAGAAGAATTTATTTCATCGCAAAACAAACGTGGCATAACAGTAAGTTATCGTGTCCTGTATGGAACACAAGAAAGGTAATTATTAGCGCATAATTTGATGTAGAACTTGTCCAACAATTGGCGGAACAAGACAGAGATGTTCGCGTGACTGTTCGCTGTTTGTCTTTGTATCGCCCGAATCACTGGTGGCCCGGATATTTTGGTGCACCGACCGTCCCAAATCTGTCTCTTCCATCAAGAGAAAGACTTTTACCGCCGCCGCTAAGTTGTTTTACCGGTAGCATGTGTGTTTCTGGACCGACAGAAAGTTGGCCAATCGTTTATCTTTCCCCCACAGATGGCGCGAAACTGCCTCCGCGGTCATGACAACAACCGCCACGTTGCACGGCGGTGTGTGCAAACGTGTCGTCTGATCCAACGCATCGAAACGTAACCTCTGATGGTTCGTGAAGACTAACACATGTGTGTGTATGGAGAAGGTTTTGACCCACTTCTGTTGAAGCTACTTAGTAAGTTAGTACTGCTAATAAGTCAACAGTTAAGTCACAAGTTCAGGGTACAATCAGCCAAAATAGGGCGACTTTAGACTTCATATTTCAACTGAACGATTGCAGAGAGACAGTTTGGGCAAAAGTTTTAACCCCTTTTATAGCATTGGAACTGTAAGGTACAAAATGTAAAATTGTGTTTTAAGCTTTTCTATCCATCAATTTCTACGAAAACTTTTTTCCCGCGGCCAGTTTCTTTTTTCGTCGGTTTTTTTTTTGTTGCATTTACCTTATTTTTGTAAGACTTTTTCTTCTCAAATTTACGGAAAAATTGAAGTGGCGTTTTCCTCTCCTGTAAGTTATCTCCGCACGGGTTGAGAGCTGTGAGTAACTTTGAAACCTGATCCTGATTAATAGTTATGTTAGCTGGGGTCATGCCCCGCCTATCGTATGTACCAAATATCCCATCCGCAGCAGAAATATGATATCAATTTTATATATATCCCAACGGGGCAATATAAACCCGTTTGCGTACAACTAGGGCGTCACAGCGGGAGATACTCCGCCTACCGTACTCTTATAACACCCGTACATACTCCTCATAGCAGGCAGTTTTCAACTTCAAACTACGGTAGGTTTCTGTGTTAAAAGAACGTCGAAGGTTCAACACTTTCTGACAACATTTTAGCCCCCCTCCCCTCTATCGTTGCAATGCTAGAAAGGAAAATCAGCCCATGACCAAATACATGTACACAGACACGCGTGAATCGTACGTGGTTACTTGCGGTGACTGTCCGCCACGTATTGTCAATGGGGTAGCCGAATATAACAGTTTTATCGGCATAAATGTCGTCAGGAAAAGCTTTAGAACGACAGCAACAAGCTCTGGTGTGTTTTGGAGTGTCGGCGAGCTCACTTTGACAAATGGGTTAAACTGTCCAGGGACTACGCCGGACGTTTGTGTCAGGCAAGCCGCGGTCGGACCGCGTGGGTACCGGGTGTCACACAGCCAAGCAAACCTCGTGCCGAACGTTCAGAAACGACACTAAATAAAATCCAGCATGTCTCAACAACAACTTTGTCAAAACTGTAACACATTTTGGCCCATTTTTTGGAACAAGATGTTAGCAAACAGCAAATGTACTAGACACGTTGTTCACAGTGTTTACTATAATGGCAGTATAGATAACTCAATGCCATATGCTTGGGATATACTCTGTGACCGGTACACACTACATACACTAAACCACAGTCCACGTCCGAGGGATAGACGGGTACCCAAGTGGAGGAAAAACCCCGCTAAAGTCGTGGAAAGGAGTGGTTGTTTTTACCTTGTCCGCCATGCCTGTGGCTGTCCGGCGGCTGTGAGAGTCAGCGGTGTTGTGGCGTGTTTTTCCCCGGTTGAAGTTCCTGACGGAGCCGTCACGAGAACTGACGGGTCAGGCACTGCCCTGGGAACGATATAATGTCAGCCCGGCGTGCCCAACGGAACCGCTAGAACAGACGCTCTTCAAGGGGGTTTAGCGAAGCTCGGAAGTCGATAAACTCTTTCTGAAACCCCAATATGTGTGCAGACCTTCAAGATACCCTATAATTCTTAACTTTCATGTATCGAGACTATATCAGACATTTTCTAACGTATTTAAAGCTACAACAATATACTCAATCTTTTTAAAAATCACAGATGCCCTATAGAAACCAGATGTTCCAAAAACCCTTTTTACGTCCTCTTGAAAACCATTTAGTAGTATTGCTTTTTATCTTCCCAGGCGAGGGAGGGGGGGGGATCGACGTAGATGACGTAATTTCAAATCACATGTACGTAAGTGTGCTTATAAAAACGAGATATCCTTTTTTTGTGATTTACATAATAAAGGTCTTACAACTGAAGCGTTATTCCGATTGGAAAGCCTCTTTCATATTTTTTTGGAGTGGCAAAAATTTAATTGAAAAGATAAGGTATACAGAGAATATACTGGGACTTTCTATAAAATGATATACTTTTATCCTTAAGAAAAAAAATTAAATCTAATTCTAGCATAGCTACGCTCAAAGTATGTGTAAGTGCAAAGACTACGTCTAACGGTTATACCCTAACGTATCAGTTGTTGTAAAAGATGTATACAAAATGGTCCGTACGTCCTGACACACATTAGAACATGTATATCGGAAGGCTTTTGTTGTTGTACAAACTCATTATGGTTAATGATTGAAGCGCCCGAGTTCACTGGCGACATGTCGACGCCTGTGTGTAAACCGGGGGAGGGTCATTAATTAACCCGCCGGGTCACGTCAACCTGTGACCGATAAGTTAAGTGTCGATGGTCGTACGTAGATCCCTAGACCATGACAAGGCAACATCTACATTACATGTATGTACAGTAAGGCCATGTTGATTTGATTATATGGATGACATCCTCTGAGAATCCCCTGCGAATGAAAAAAAAAGGTTGTCAAAAAAAGTATGGTACAGTATGGTCGACATTTTTTTTGTTTGGAAACGGCCGAAAATTCACGCGCGCGTGGATGTCATCCATATAATCAAATCAACATGGCCATGGAGAGGCATCCAATATACAATGTACTTATAGATATAAAGTGTAACGATATAGACTTTTGGGAAATGATACTCGATTCTAGTGATATATTTTTAAGAAGTAAATGTTCTGGGCAGGTTTCATCGGAATGTAATGTATGGAAGTATATAATATATAAAATACAAGTTATACAGTTAGGCAGCAAATATAACCACTTGCCACGGGTAATATAGTTCGGCAGATTGAACTTTGATTCCGTGATTGTATAGTCAGACACTTTCCTGTAAACTCGTAGCCTGGTTGCCTAACCTATTAACCACTATAGCTCCCGACAACACACACACATAATCCAGTTCACTCCGGAAACCTTTTGGTGATAT